GCAGCTCAGCTTGTTGTCTCCCTTCAAATGAAATCTAAAAAACTTGCACGTATATATAAATTGCATGTATATACATACGATCGGTCCTCAGAGCAGGACAACGGAAGGTTGGCAAGAAGTGGCGGATATGGCAGTATCTGCTTGGAAGCAGATTCGAAGCACGTCTGCAAAGATACCCGGCAGCGTGACCTGACCGCTGCTGATTGCCGCGCCAAACGGGGTTAAACTCTTCTGCCCATCCGTTCTCCACAAGCCTCAAGCCATGCTTGTACATGCACGGCAACACACTTGAATTGAGTTCTGAAACAGGCGCCCATCATGTCCATGCACAAGAAAACACGTGACTGGGGACAAGGCGCCCTTCTGTTGCCACACTGTTCACATGCGCATACAAGGCCAATGCTCACGGATCAATGGAACAGGCAAACATACCAGTCCCATTCGCACGGATGAATGATCTTCCAAGGCCCCTTTCCTTCTTCGAGAATCAACATTCATTTAAATGCGAAGGCCTTGTGGGGCGTTACATCGTCCTGCGCTATCTCTTTAGGTGGCTGTTCGGGTCTCCAATACATGATATGAAATTTTTGGCAAGCTGGCGACCAGTGAGCCTCAAAAGGTGGCTAGGAATTGGCTAAAATCCACAAAAGTACAAAAAAGGGCATAGTCTCCTACAAAGAGACGAGCTCCACCATAAAATATTCTACATTGTCTCCTATTTTATACTGTCTCCTGTCTACTATCTCCTTTATATATAAAGGATATGTCTCCTATATAGGAGAACATGGAGATAGCAATGCGGCAATTCGTATGGGTATCTCGATGTGCGCCCAATTCTACCAACATATGGGACACGATACTGACCCCACGGAGGTCCAACATCCCGAGAAATGACGCGACGCACTGGGCTCCGGGCGCCACCTTTTTTGGACGTGCATGCTTGGCTCACGAAACTTCGTCCCCACTCGGAAACTGCTTCCAACAATGCAGCATTCCTGGAAAATGGATCTGCACCGATCGGCCACTGCAATGCGTGTCCGATTGGCTCACACCAGCAATCGGGATCGAGGCCCTGCGAGCATCGATGGCAATAGGTGGGACCGGCGATGGCTGCGACTCGTGGCGAACCTTCGCCAATGGATCCACTGGCCGGGTGGAGGCCTCGAAGGCTGCGCGGGATTGCGGCTTGCGGAATGCACAAACGGTGAGAGGCGCCAGCGCTGGTGGTGGTGCAATACAGCAACGGTCTCAGGGGACAGGTGACAGGTTGGGGGGGGCCAAATGATGTACCGCTACTGGGTTACTCACAGTGGCAGACAGGGCAGCGAACGTGGGCATCCAGTGAGAGACTGCAGGGCTGAGATTTTGCGTCTCAAACGCCTTCCCGGACGGGAAGACTTTACTAATGTCGGCCAAGCTTTTCCGTCAAAGGTGATCAACTGGAACTGATCCAAGAGAGGTGGTGATGCGCGCTGCAACAATCGACGGCATGTGCAAGGCAATCTATGCAATTTGATGAATATGCTGCTAAGTTTCAAACAAGATGATGTTCAATCTTTGTGATTAATGTCATTGTGCGACTGGAAATTTGTGGAAATTGCTGCAAGCCTATGCTGAATACATTGGCGAATCGGAGATTTGAAGTCCCACCATAATTGACTGAGGAATTCTCAAGATGCTTGCTGGAAATAGTTCTGACGTCTTAATGACTGTTGTGCGCCAAAACGTCAAATCTGACGAGTAGTTTCATGCTGATCAACGCACTATTGATTCAGGGCAGCCTAGGGCGAAGTGTGATGTCATGGCTTTTCGATTCTTCTGCGTTAGGCAGATGTATTTTACGTGGTTTTATTAGGTCTGACAGCCCAATAGGGATGCAATCTGCCACGCATGCAAAAATCAGGAATCTGGCTATGAATTTGGTCATGAAAATTATGTACTTTTGTTGCTAATGCGCTGGGTGAGTGTATCAGTCTTTTAATTCGATCAAGGAATATCACTGGGCCGATTTGTGGCGTGGCTGTGAGAGTACATTGTAGTGCGGGAAAAAGGCAGGCGGAGCCTTAGGTTTGAACGAATATTCCTACGAATCTTTCAGATCACGGCACACAGATTCGATTGTGTTGCTGCGCGTGTGCTGGAAAGGTGATGAAGGAGTGAAGTGATGTCCACCTGAGCGTTACAAGGGGGATATGTGAGGATTAAAAGAGCATGTTGTGAGGTTTGCGGAAGCACGCTCGCATGTGATACGAATAGTAGAGCATGAGGCGCAAGGAGAGTGAGAATGATGTGAACTGCCATGTTTGGACGTGACCTGATAGAAATTGCATAAGATTGGGTTGTATTGCCCATTCTGACGCGGCTAGAATATTCGGGGAGTGGCTGCTGTGCTGTGTGCGGGCCGCAGGCCGTATGCTGCTGTGCCCTAGTGTCTGAGGGGCAGAACGGGACGGACCCTAGTCCGTGAAGTTGCAAGCACTCAGTTGACAGTCTGTACGTGGGCAACCCGTGCACCCAGGCGGTGGCGTGCAGCCTGACCAAATCGGCTTCACAGCCAAGGGATTGAGGTCTCCTGTGCTCGAATCTCGGCAGAGCGCGCCCATTGCAATCCCGCCGTTCGGGTGCATGGGTTTCCAAGCGATTCTGTGAGAATCGAAGCGGCCTTCCGCGTGTCTCTCACCCAAGGCCCAGATTTCTGCGTGAGCCCGAATGTGCAAGGCCCGGAGGCCCGTTTGAGTTGGATTTTCCGTGGCGGAATCGCTGGCGACGTGTTCGCAGGGGAGCTGTACGTCCCCAGATTCGTCTCCTTCGACGCAAATCCTATCGAGCCGGAAGGCAGGACAGGCGAAGGCTTGGTGCTTTGTGGATTTTCGCCCGGGTGGCTGCCATGTCAGACGGCCACCTTTTGCATGGCACAAAGCCCACATCTTATTTGTTTGAACGAGGGTGGCATGTGGGCTTGTGGAAATGTGTTGTAATTCGACCAGAACTAAGGAAATGCGCTATGTCGAAGCTTGGTATGCTATTAGTGTGCTAATAGCGTATTTGGACGCGCGTCCAAATTAGCACGCACCTCCCCCACCCCAACACCCCATCCCAACTCCTTTTTTAGAAGGGGGAAAGGGGTTTCCAGATTTGTGACACTGAGATTGTGTGATTGCCTCAAAATCGACTTGGCCACGCCCAAAACGCCGCTGATCAGTAGCAAGCAACTTAATGACTTGCTCCAAAAACTCCCTCACGAGTTCAATGTTTGAGTAAGGTCCCATATTGTCTCCATTGAGAGCCTTCAGGGCTACCCCCGTTGCTTGGCATGGCTTTTCGAATCTCAACTTTCAGCCCTGTACAATCGCTGCAGCTGTCGCTATTGTATGTTCCTCAAAAGCATTTGCATGTTGTGTCACGTTATTAGGTAAAGGTGCTTGGCGATGTGGGCATCAACTCAAGGATCGATGCTGAAAGGGGGGGTACAAAGAAAGGAACAGGTCATACAAAGGGCAACCCCTCCTCGGCAAGTGCATGCGAGACTCCTTACTGTAAAATATTAATTCCTTCCGCATAGTAACGTAACGCTTGGCCTTTTCTTGCAGAGAAAATAATATAAATAGTAACGCAAATTTCGGCCTTTCTCTTCGGAGCAACGTAACAAATATTAGAAGACCGCTCTGGAACAGAATGCGGAGCAAAAAGCGTAATGTTGAGAATTTCTGATGCGGAAGGGTTGAATATTTTACAGTAGTCTGTCATGTAAAATCCGTCCTCTCAAATACATCAAAGCGTTAATTCGGGACAGAGTACGCCGCAACTTGGAGCAACACAAAGGGCCACAGTTGAAGCCGAGGGGGCGCCCGCCATTCGCCACGAGATCTTGTGGAATGTGGCCTCCAGTGTATACTTCAAGCACACGTCTGGCCAGTGGCAAAGCGCACCAATGCGTCTGGCGCAGGCTCGCCCAGTGCTCGATTGTATTGTAGTGTTCAGACTCGGGCTCTGGATAGCGTCCACTGAACATGTCCTCCAGCAACATGCTAACTTTGTGTTCCACAATTTGGAGGGTGTCATTCGAATGCCTGCCTGGTCAGCAGCCCACTCATTTCGAAAGGGCACAACAACACCGGCAGAAACTCTGAAGGCACTGTTCGACGCGAGACAGTGTGGCGCTGGGGCGAGACCAACAACAATTGTGCAACCCCATGCTGCTCATAACAGGAGCGCCCCTGATTGTTCCCCAGCTCTCCGAGGACGAAACGACTGAGGTGCATTTGCAGATAAACAGTGGTGCACAATAGGTAACATCTGCAGCTGCATGGAGGCTGACGCGGTACTCGAATATGCTGCGCACTTCCCAAATCAACTATACAAAGGCGCTGCTACGTGATTCGTCTCAAAACTAATGTACATGCCACAGACACGAGTGACATTTTATCAAAGGCAGCCAGCAAATGCCAAGCCAATCGACCGATGCAACCCCCCAAGCGCAGACAGGCATGCAAATGGCCGAAAGCGCTATTGTTCTAAAGCACGCCCCGACTCTTACCCAGACCACTCTATTCATTGCATCCTGGTATACAATCCCAATAGATCACACCCAAAACAGCAAGACAATTTTAATCTGCAGTCGTGCAGCAAGTGTAATTCCCGTTTAATACGGCGCCAAATTCCCACCGCGCAATGCACTGCTCCATCCGAGCCCTTTGGTTTCAGACTTCGTTTATACCCTCACCCATGTACGAAATTTCTATGCCCATGATGCGCATTTCTGCCCCGTTGACCGCCGATGGGTGATCTTGTGGCAATTCCCCACGCCATAGTCAAGCACTCGTGCAAGCCATAAACAATCCTTAATAACCCGTATCCACGATATTTTCCATGCCTCTCCACCTCTCGTTCTCGCGTCACTTCCAAAACAACTGGGACCAGTCAGGGCGCCATCATCCGTTGGTGTAGTTGGCTTGAACGCATACGCTGTGTCACAAAGAATACACATTATCCAACGCGGTCTACGCAGCAGCCTTGGCAACCGCGGCCTCAACAGCGTCTGCAGCTTCTTCTGCTTTCTCCGTTGCCACCTTCTCAGCCTCGCAAGCCGCCTTTTCTGCTTCTTCCTTGACTTCTGCAGCTGTTGCCACCGCGGCCGACTCTGCACCCGCTGCCGCCGACTCCCCCGCTTTCTGCACCTCTTCCGCGGCTGCTGCCACTGCCCCGGCCGCAGCGCCCTCCCCTTCTTTCACAGCCTCTGCCACCACATCCTTCGTCTCTTCCTTGGCTTCTGCCACCTTCTCCTCAGCCGCCGCCTTCTTCTTCTTGAACGTGTTCTTCGTCCTGCTCCAGAAGCCCTCCTTTTTCGCCTTCGTGGGCGTCTCGACGGCCTCTTCCTTCGGCGGTTCCTCTGTCGTCTCCTTTGTGGCCTCCTTCGCTTCTTCTTCAGTCTCTGCGGCAGCAGCCTCCACCGTCGCCACCTCCTCAGCCTTTGCTTCTTGCTTCACTTCTGCAGCCTCTTCCTTCGCCTCGGGTTTGGACGTCTCAGCTGCGCACTCGTCCGCCTTGGCCTCCTCGGCCTTGGGCTCTTCAGCGGCGGCGCCTTCCGACGTGGTGGGCGGCTTCATGTCGGGCACCTCCGACTTGCGGCCCCAGCTCACCGACAAGCTCCGCCGGGTCCTCTTCCAGAAGCCCTCTTTCTTCACAGTGGCCGCCGCCGCCGTGGCTTCTCCCACGGCCGCTGTCACGGCTTCTGTGGCTGTCTCCTTGGCAGCCTCGGCCGTCTCTGTGGCTTCTTCCTTGGCTGCCTCAACCGTCTCTTTCACCTCTTCCTTGGCTGCCTCAACGGCCTCCTTGGCCTCCTCCGCCTTCTTTTCTGCAGCCTCGACGACCTCCTCTTTTTTGTCCTCGCACGCCTCCGCCGCGGCCTCAACCTTCTCAGCCACGGCCTCCTTCACTTCCGAAGGGCCCGGCGCAGGGGCGGGGGTGGCTGCTGGCTTCTTTTTCAACGCGTTGGCGAAGTTTTTCCTGGTCCTGCCCCAGAAGCCCTCCCTCTTGGGGGCCTCCTCCTTGGGGGGCGGCTCGACGGCCTCCTCCTTGGGAGGGTCGGCGACAACCTCCTTGGCCGCCTCGCTCGTGCCCTCCTCCTTTGCCTCGATCTTGGCAGCTTCGGGTTCGACCTCCGTCTTGGCTGGCTCTTCAGGCTTGTCGCAGGGCGCCTCGTCCGCCTTCGCCTCCGCGTCAGGTTCTTCCGCCTTGGGCTCTTCTGGCGGCGCTTCCGTCACGGGAGCGGTCTTCTTCCCTCCCTTCCTTGTGACCCGGTTCCAAAAGCCCTTGACTGCAACAAAGCGTCCAAACGTGAACGCCAGCACTGGCGCGGCTGCGTTGTGGACGGCGGTGACGAGGACAGCAGCAACACATCACGCGCACAGGACCGGGACACACCCGCAACATAGCCTACAGTGATGACCACCCCTGAGGCTCTTCGCCACGTGGGGAGACGCTGAAACGCTCTCGAGCGCGGTGGGGGCAGAGTTTGGAGCCGAAACGAGAACGACCGCAACCGACGCGCTGCTTCTGTTTTGCCTTTCTTCCCGGCTGTCTCGACATGTCAGTCCCCAAGACCACAATGATGCAAGATGAGTCATGGCATTCCGCACGTCAAACCGACGTGATACCCTCCCTCACCCAACCCCCGTTTCCGCCACCACCACATTGCCCCTCCCCCCGCTGGGACATTTGCTAACGCCCCAAAACAGCCACAACCACGCCACCCGCACTCACGCCGCTTCGTTGGGCCCGCCTTAGCCGGCGCGGTGACCGTCTCGACGGCCTCCTTGGCCGCCTCCTTGGCCCCGGTCGCGGCCTCAGTCGCCGCCTCCTTGACGTCGGCGGCAGCCTCGCTGGCATCGGCCTTGGCTGCGGCGGCCACCTCCTCCGCCTTGGCCTCCACCTTGTCCTTGGCCGTCTCGCACGCCTGGCCGGTGGTCTCTTTCACGTCCGTCACGGCCTCCTCGACCTTGGCGACCACCTTAGCGCAGCGCAAACGCACCGTCACGGGCAGTATTATAAATTCGCAGGGGCAGCACGGGCGGGGATTTCGACGGGCGAGCGCGGAGGTGCAAAATGCGGCCAACAGTGGCGGAGACGCGGAAATTTGGCGTTACGCGGATGGGCGCGCGGCTCTGGGCTGCTCGCGGACACGTGGGCGCAGGGAAAGGGGGTTCGCGCGGGACGGAAAACGGACGGGGCCCATCTGAGCTACTTGAGCTTGGATGTCCATGAACCGCGCCCGAGCCGCATCTGCCTCGCGGGCTGCCCCCTCTCAGGAACCATTAACAAATTCCCAGGCGTGTGCCGTCACTCGATGCCCAAAACGCGCGAGATGCGAGCCAGCGATCGGCCAGGGCAGCCCTCAAGTGGCGCACGCGCAAAGCTGCCCAGTCGGGGGCCCGAATCACGTCAGCACGCGGCGGCCGCGCTCATGCCAATTCCGAATCCCCATTCCCGCCGGGCCGCAATCGAAGTTGCGGGGCAGGGGGGGGCCACAGCAGCGCGTGCAGGGCGGCTGCATCCGGCAAACCTGCACCCTCCGACACAACCGCGGGGCGGGCCCGCCAGCAGAAAAATGCACTCGCGCCGCCCAACAAAGGCTCAATCGAGAGGCCGCCAGTTGGAGGTGCGCTGCAATCTGCGCGCCTCGCCACACGGCACGGCGGGGCGAAACAACCTTGAGGAAGCATCCCCCACTGCGAGCAGCCCCCACGGCGCGCAGGGACGCGGAACGACCTCCCCGCATCCTCCGCAGAGGCCTCGGGCACCCCACCCCCCAACCATGCCCTCTGACAGCACCGCTTGAGCGCCAAAATCTCCGCGCTCGTCTCCCAGCCACCAGAATTTGGCGAGCCCGCAAAAAACGGCCCCAAACGCCCACGTAACGCACATCTTTCGCGACTTCCGCCATCTGTGCTCTCCGCTTGACCGCGCGGTGGCCTGACTTGGGCGCCTGCGCTCGACCGCGGGGTGGTGGTAGGCGGGAAGGCTGCGCTTCGGTGCGGCTGTGGGGGAACTGCTCGCCTTGGGGCGCAATTGGGGCCCACGGCACAAGGACGGGATACTGCCCCTGATCCGGAGCTCCCCGATCAGTTGTCTAAGGGGCCCCAATCCTGAATTACTGGGGGCGACGTCATGCGTGGCTGGCGCCAGCTGGGCGCCACCCCGCGCCCATTTGTCGGTACCTAAGTCCCTGAAGTGGGCGGCCAGGCGCTGGTATACAGTCCCTTAAGTACCAGCCCGCGGGGCGGTGTTGTGGTGAGCGTGCCGTATGCGGGGTGTTTTGTGCAGCGGTCGCGCCGTGTGGCGGGCGGAAGCCAATCAAGCATTACGCCGGCAGGCCGGGTTGAGTTTGAGGGCTACCGGAGCGGTACAGGGGAGCACGGGGGCGAGAGTGATCGGTGAAAGGGCCGCACGGGGCGGCGGCACAGCGGGGCTTTGTAAGCGGCGAGTGTGGCGGTAACCCACGTACCTTAGCCGCCAAACGGATGCAGACCAGGCCTGTCCTGCTGCAGAGCCGTAATTGCCGGACCAGCCTTCACAACGAGCTGGTGGGCACCAAATGTGGTCCCAATCGTTGGGAAACACCGCGCTCGCCTTGGGTAGTGCTATATACAGTCCGGAGGGAGGGGGGTCGCCCATCACTTTGCGCTGTGACGTGGCATTTCCCCGGGACGCTGTCCCTGCGACTGATTCAGGCACAGATCAGGACCCGCCAACACACGATGGTTTCAAAACGGGGAGCGGCCCCTGCCAGCCCACAAGTTATGTGGGCAGCCGCCAAGTCTCTATGGTCGACCAGGCCAGGCGCGATAGCAACGATGGTCAACCTGGTGGCCAAGGGATCCTAGGCGCCGGCAAACAAGGAGCGTCGCCCCTCACAGGCCGGGGCATCGGCTGCTGCAGCGCACCCTTTTGCAAACTTCTGGCCACAGGCGAAACGGGATGTTGCACAGAGACACACACGCACTGTCCGTGGACAGTTCGGAATCAGAGTCACAAACGCAGCAGCGATGGTGGGCCCGGAAAGAAGTGTTGTTACAAGAATGTTCTACGCGTATTTATACTCGAAAAAAGGGTGTCCCAGTCCCCAGTCCTAGTCACCGTTCGAGAAGCCTCCCAAGCTGCAATCCCCCGTACAGACCCCCCTGATCTTGTCCCCAAAGATCTCAAGTTCTCCAACACCAGTCCCCAGCCTGGTACAACCCATCATACACTCCATACAACCGGCTCAATTCAGTCCCCGGCATGTGATTCCAGTCCCATGCAATCATGCTCAGTTCTAAGTACGTCCCTCCATGATGATCCAGTACTCAAATCAATCATATCAGTAAAACAAAAACGAAGTCGTAATACCCACCGGTACATTCCTTAGTTCCAGCCTTGACACTCCATCAAAACGAACGTACACAACTAAAATGGCTTACTGATGATGAATTCCCGGATCAGTTCTCCACTCCCGGCTCAGGGCTCCATTCCCTGCTCAGTTTCATGTAAGGCGGTCGTACATTGGGGCTTGTGGCAAGGGCAGCTCTCTTCAAGTGGACTCCTGGACAATGCAATGGAGCAGGACAATTAGTACGCCTTTAATTCATTAATTCTGGGCTGTGCTCAGCAACTCAAACAAGGTTGCCGTAGATCAGATCAACCAATCAAATAACTAATAGTACACAACCTCAAACACAGTAGGTCATCTCAGTAGGGGTACTTAGAAAATCACCACACGAGCGATGCCTCTGACGGTGCGCGGGAGAAGCTCGCGATAGGGTATAAAATTACTTCCCCATTCTTGTTTGCTGAATTTCGGTTCTTGTTTTCAGACACCCTAGACCCCAACTACTGATCCATTCACCGGGACTGGCCTTGCATCTTGCAATGGCACGGCCGAACCTTTGTTGCAGTGGCGCCTTGAAAGTGGCACACAAAGTGTTGCTAGCAGCACATGCCCAAGACAACCAATTTCAATGATTTTCTATCTACAACGTAGCAAGGCCATGGTGACGTTCTCCCAAACTTTACGTGGTGGCCTCAGCACCCATGGCGGCTCTTTTCTGGAAGAGGTGTGATTGTGAAGTTCGCCGATTTTTGGGTCTCCGATTCAGAGCTGCTGTCCCCATAATAGGCCATCAAATCCACTGTGATGATGATCGATCGAGCGGTAAAGGACCCGGTTTCCTGGTCTCCCCCTTCGGCAGGAACGGTTTCGACCTGCCCTGAAGACGGCAGCAATAGATGTCCATTCTGGGCTGCACACTGTCAGTCGCAAGGGGAGCTGGTCAACGACCCGGTTTTGGGGCTGTTTGGCCAGACCTTGGGAAGCTTCGACTTTTTGGCCTGAATCACAAGGGTCCACAGTACTGCCATGTGGCTGGTACTTATCCGTTGTCCACAAAATTTTGGCACTACATAGTAATTGTGTAGATAGTGCCTTTGTTCAATTTTGAAGGAAAACAAGTTCGTGATACAAATGTAGCCTCCCAAACAAAATATTTCATTTATTTAGGGACGGAAGAGGTACAACAATTGGCCAGGTTTGCTTCAATCTAAGGCGTTTTCTTGCTCGATGCCAGTATGCGCGGCCCTCAAAATCTTGGCACATCTGAAAGATCGATGCTCTTGCAATGACGAAGGTGTCTCTTGGCCTTTGGCCATCACTAGCACGAAGTTGTTGTTATTACCCCAAACTTCGCAGCGAACTCAGATACTTTCCCTTGCAGATTCAGTTTGGGATCAAGCCGAATCTTCAGTGGCCACGGAACCACCAAAGCACTCGTCTCTTCTACTGACAGCTCATATCAATCCAGCGCTTCTTAAGGGCAAGGAAAACATGCTGTACCCCATCCAACGCCCGGAGAAAAACAACAAATCGTGTTACAGCTCCTCTTGACACATCACAAGGGCAGCAACATCATTTGCAACGTTTGAAAGTTTTACAAATAGCCCTTGATATGGCGCTTCGAAGTTGTGTCGTTAAATTTTGCTGATTCGCACGTTCTGGCCTCCTTTGGGACAAGTTTGATATCGGGCACAACTTGTGAAACAGAGGTAGTATAATAAATAACGCTCTCTTGATATTTTTCTTGCGGAGCAACGTAAAAATAACAAAACATAACGCTTTGAAAAAGAAATGCGAAGCAAAAGCATAATAGTGAAATTTTCCAATGCAGAAGTATTTCAAATTCTACGGCAAGCAAGTGAATAGTGTAGGCCGGGCTATTGATGTACAGGTTGCAAGGGATAGCAAGTGGGAAATGTCCTGGACACGCTGAAGAAAAATTGACTCACGACCAACCAGGCCCAAAATTTTAGAACATTTGACCAAGAAGACATGAGTACAAATTCTGGTCCCAAGAATAGATTCAAACAAGTAGCAAACTGGCAGACAGGGATTCTGGTAGCTGCGCCAGAATTCCCGCCTCCCAAAGGGAAGCGAGTTGCACAGCGATCAATTGCAATTTGCGTCCTGCACTGATTGCCTCCATATCTTTGTTGCATTGGCGTGTGCGTGTCTGAGTGGGAGTGTCGATAGTGCACGATCGCTGGCAAAATGGCAGTCTTCAGCGTGCACCCTTGCAGACGGACACCACAGGATTGTGAGTCCCTGTGGCGATGCCCCTTCAAATGTGATGTGCTGGGAGCATTTCTGTGGTTGGAGGGTGCTCGATTTGCCATGTACCTTAGCATATTCAACCCTTCCGCATAGTAACGTAACGCTTGGCCTTTTCTTTAGGAGAAACAAAAAAATAAGTAGCGTTCCTATATTTTTTTTTGCGGAGCAACGTAAAGAAATAGAAAGTGTGCTGTGAACAAAAAAAGCGGAGGAGAATGCATAATGGTAAACTTGTTTGATGCGGAAAGGTTGAATGTACTACTGCAATAACTGGCTGTGACTCATTTACGCATCCAGAGTAATTGTCATCCGCACAGTGCTTGCCATAATCTCACTTTCAGCATGGCTCGATTATGCCACCAGCGCAAATATGTAATTGAATTACCCCCGATGCAACTAATGGGGAAGTGCAATTCACGGAGCAGTGATAGAGGGTGCATCAGACAACGCCACTTATCTGAGATTTGTGCGATTGGAAATGGCGGCCGCGCTTTCCAGTAGACTGGGTAATGCCCTCATGGGGCAGATGTCTTGGACCTGCAAATTGAAGTAGTTGCTGAAACTGTGTGGGTGCCCAGCATACGAAATGCATTATGCCTTTGGAAGCGAGCGTGAGTCCTGAATATGGGTAAGACACGATAATGCATGTCAGCGACGCAATCACAGGGCTATCCACACGCAACACATGCATGCGCACCCAATTCAGCGCCGAAATATTGTGTGCGGCGCATTGCAACAGTCGCGTTTCGCGGCTACTGGGCAAACAACGCTGCAAATCCTCGCGCTTGTGTGGTCGGTATGCTGTACCTGGATGGCCAATGTGTACGTGTGCTTTACCGTGCGGGAACTTGACATACCGCGTTGTGGTATGGCACATTGCGACATTTTGGGACCAGCCAAAACTTGAGTCGGCGCTGTACAGCGATGCATGCTTGCCATGAAAATTGATCAAAATGATCTGAAAATTCGTCAATACGACCTGTAAATTGTCCATTATGGGCTTCAAATTTTCAGCGTGTCAATACAGACGAGATCGGCATTGGATGAGATATGAACCGAAATAATTGCAGGTGTATTGGCGGTACTATACTGATGCCACTCAGTACATACAAAGTGGTTTTAAGCACGAACCGTGATTCGGTTTTCCGTTACACATAAGCCTGTGAGATTGACGCTTTTGAACCACCATCAGAAGCTCTGAATGGATCCAAGTGCCAGTTATAAACTGGTACATAAATAAGTATATTCCAGTATATGTACTCATTATATAATGTATACTGTGGATTGTAACAGATTTGAGC